CCCCAAAACCCCAAAACCCCAAAACCCCGCTTTATTACACATATTAATTAAGAGAAAAATTAATACTTCAATCAATTATTTATACTAAACTCATTCATATTTATATATTTCTAGTTTCACTTTGACTTAACTCATTAAGCTGCAGCCCCCCTTTTATCTTCGAACTTATTCATGTGAGCTTTAGACCCTAGTAATAGGGGAGCATAATCTTTATCTTCAATTTCCTTAATCACAGCAATTCCAAGGGCTTCAGCCAATTTACTTGCTAGTATATGCTTGCAAAATATGGCACCGCCATTCTCACTCATACATTCCTTTGCGAAAAAGTAGCAGAAGCACATTTCCTTTATTACATCATGATTCATATCGGCACACTCACTGTCATTGGCCCCATTAAATTGAGACACATACCCTGCTGTTCTGTTCTTCTAGGCCTGCACATGAGATGAATCTCTCACTCTATAAAAGTGTCTCTTTGATTCCTGACATTAAATCTTAGTAACCTTTCCATTATCTAGAATTTCTAATGTAGGGGCTATTACAGTAGGGAACAATGTCACAAGCAATGCATATATCTCCGATGATATTTCTCCTTCAATCTGAATTCTGTTTAAGGCAACGTTTAAAATTGAGCATGATTCGAGTCTGTTCATATTCTACGATAACAAAGTACCACAATAATCTCAAAATTAATCTGAAATTTAAGTTCTGATTAATATTTCTATTAATTTTAAGGCCTATAGCTAATTATGAGGGGTTTGAGTATAAAAGTGTTCTTTAAATTGAAAATCAAATTTGAATCTTTAAATTTAAAAATTTACACAAACTATTGAAAATGGACCACATCCTTGAAAACAAGTTCTTAAACAAAGAGAGTGCTTAGAGACAAGCATTTGAAGAGCATGACGATAAGCTCTAATTAATAGACAAATACGAATAGATGAATGTTGATGAGGCACAATTCTAAATATTCGAAAGCTTCGTTAAGGAAAAGACATAGTTGCTGGGCTACATCCAAGATCTAGTCGTTCATTCAGCCAAAGCGCTTCAAATAGATGCTTCTCTCTTTTATTCACAAGAAGTTATTGATCAGCATATAGGCAAAATCAAGAACGATGCAGATATCATAAATGTGAAAAACAGAGTCATTATTATTGTAAGCATTATATTCAAATATATGTGGGTGTTAACTTCCATCATAGCTAGAAAGATATTAAGAGCAGTCAGGAGTGCTTGATTAGATTTTGGAACAAATCATCTCACCCATCATGAAGTATCTGCAAATCTATATTAAGCAGGCTGTTGGCTAAAATAACTATGGAATTCCAAAGGAAGTATCTCACTTATTCTAAATTGTTCATTGGATCTGCAAAGTTAGAGGATTCAAAACAATCGTTAAATTCTTCCCCCACGAAGTTAATGATATGGAGCCTGTTGTAGAGATGCTTCATTTCTAAGAGACTGAGGAGTGGTGGATTAGCTATGTCCTGATCCTCTGGCTTTCAATTATTGTGCTAGTGCCCTTTGATATTGATACTATAGATTCGAAGAAGGATATTGATATTTTGGTCAAGAGAATAATCAACATTTGCAAGACTCACATCTCAAACTCAGGAAAGATCAGAGAGGCCACTGCTGTTCTGCTTTCAAAGCTCATGACTAGACCTGATGTGATTAAGTCAGGAGAAACAGACTTTTTCCTTAACTATTTGGCAGTGGAATATGAGTAGTGCAAAAATGATGCGAATTAGATGTTTTTCGTCAGTGGCATTCTTCAGACTTTGACAGAAATTTTCAAAATTGGCCACAGGGAAGATTTATTGGCCAGAGTTAATACTGTCTTCGACCCTATCCTGAAGAGTGAAGTCAAGAATAAATTCATGGCCAAGAGCACCAATCTAAGGAAATCTAAGGTGCAACTGGCGCAGAGAATTGGATGTATATTCCTGAAACCCAAAGTAGCCAAGTGGAGATATCAAAGAGGTTTCAGATCACTCCTAGAAAATCTTCAAAGCAAGTCTACGCTCGCTTCATCTTAATAGCCTGCATAAGAAGAATAAGAGGATGAAGAGATGGAAGAAGATGACATTAATTTTGAGCAGTTAGAGTACATCATTCAGTACTTATTGGAGTCGTTAAAGGATGAAGATAATGTGGTGAGATGGACAGCAGCTAAAGGTCTTGGTCGTATTACAGGAAGAATGTCAAAAGATTTTGCTGATTAAATTGTGGAATAATTATTCGATCTCTTTGACGACAATGAGACTGATTCCTCATGGCATGGAGGATGTCTTGCGCTTGCTGAACTCTGCAGAAGAGGTCTACTATTGCCAGAAAGATTAGCGAGATTCACTCCTACTCTTGATAAAGCATTGATCTATGACATTAACAGAGGCAACCATAGTGTTGGAGCTAATGTGAGAGATGCTGCTTGCTATGTAGTCTGGTCATTTGCTAGAGCGTATGCTCCTGAAATCATGAAGCCTCATGTTCATACTCTCTCGACTTAGCTTATTGTTGAGAGTTTATTCGATAGAGAGGTAAATTGCAGAAGAGCAGCTAGCGCAACATTTTAGGAGTGTGTTGGAAGGTAGGGAACATTCCCTCACGGAATAGAAATTTTGACTGAGGCAGACTATTTCACACTTAGCAACAGAGTCAATGCCTACCTAAATGTCTCCTGCTTTGTAGCCTAATTCCCAGAATACTTCGAGAGAATGGTTTAGCATCTAGCCTTCATTAAGCTAAGACATTGGGAACCTGAAATTAGAGAACTTGCAGCCCAATCCTTGTCAGTTATTTGCGTTTTCAATGCTGAGTATATTACAACTTAAATCCTTCCCAAATTAATTGAGCTTTCAGTTGATAAAGCTCTTCATATTAGACATGGAGCTATTCTTGGTGTCAGTGAAATTCTAGTTGGGTTGTCAGGAAACTCCTCAATAAATAGAAAAGAAGTACTTGAAAGAGCATTCAAAGCCCTATCACTAAAAGAGAGAAAACTGATTGAAGAGAGCTAGAATAAAAATGAATTTTTGCATAAATATTAGACATTTAGCAGCACTAACTACCTTAATGTGCATGTTGCAGAGGGATCAGAGCTAAGATAGAAAATCAAGCATATCATTGAGGAGATTGATAAGCAAAAACTATATAGAGGTAAGGGAGGTGAGATAATGAGAGCAGGTGTTTGTCACTTGATATTCTCCTTATCAAAAGCAAGAATCCCCTTATCTGAAGCCGAAAGGCTTTATTTCTTTAAAACTATGCAAGAAAACTTTAAGCATCCAAATATTGAGATATAAGAAGAATCTACTAAAGCTTTTAAGGCTTTCTGTCTGACATATCTTTCGCCAGAGGATGATCCTGAAAGGATCTTAATTTCTGACAAATAGATAGTAGCTGAAATTAGGAGCATGTTTAGACCATCAGCTTTTGATGAAAATGTAGCTTTAACCAGAGGATATAATATGGCTTTTGGAGTGCTTTCAAGCTAGCTTTATTAAGTGCTCTGCCCAGATATCTTTGATACATTGATCAAGAACTCTATTGCAAAAGGTAAAGAATCCGATGATGCAGATACGAGGAAGCAAGCAGTAAGGTCAATAATCTAGAGTCTTGAAATTCAAGGAATCAAAACTCTCCAGCACAATATACTTCACGATATCATGGAAACTCTTTTCACTTGCATGAATGATTACCAAATTGACAGAAGAGGTGATGTTGGATGCTGGGTACGTGAGGTTGCTATGCAAGCTCTAACCAGATTTATCAAGCTTCTAGTTGAGTCTCAATAGCCTGAGATATTTGTGGCTCTCAAAGCAGATTAACCATAATTCTATGAGAAATACGTTTGTGTACTTCTTCAATAACTCAGTGAAAAAATTGATAAAGTTAGAGAAGTAGCCGGAAGATGTCTCTAATAATTCTTCAAGAAAGCTGCACTTAACATTACTGACTTCTCAGAGAAAGACCGACTTTCAGCCTTATTCTGCTAGGAATCAGATCAGCAGACTATCGCCAATACTGAATTGTCTGATGATCTTTCTTATTTACCTTGGAGAAATGCTGATTTTGTATTTAGCTAATTGTCAACATTCTTCGACTCTGCAGTGTATTCACCATCTATATTCAAGGGACTTATTACTAGCAGTGGAGGACTTACTGAATCAACATTAAAAGCTAGTTCAAATTCTTTGTTTGAGTATCTATCTACAATGGGCAAAGATAAAGAATAAGGACTTAAAAATAAGAAGGGATTCCTTGGAAAATTGATTTATATATTCCAGGAAAATCTCAAAGATGAGAGAGTAACTATCCCCTTAATGAAGACTATCGAGATGCTACTTACTTCAGATTACCTTTCTGACCAAGAATTGGTTGATGAATTGAAGCAAATCCATTAATTGACAGTCTAGGAATGCAATAAAAACAAGAATATTGTAAAACTAATGTCATCTGCAGGTGTCTTTAGTGGAATGCTCTAATTTTAAGAATAAGATCTGCTGTAAAGAGCTGTTAGAAGTCTTCTTTTCTTGCTATATCACTCATTCCCCAAAGTTAGAATTTTGACTAGTGAGAAACTATACACTGCTCTCTTGACTATGGAGGATTACTCACTGATTATTCCAAACGGTGAGGAAGACTATGACAAAGCTGTAGAAATGCTGAGTGAGACAAATTGGTCTGAAAAATTAAGCATTATCAGCACAGGTAAAGAGTCTATGTATGCAGTTTTTGGAATGCAGACTCAAAAAGCTCAAGCTGAAGCTTAACCTAAAGCAGATGGAGAGTCAGTTCAAATCTCAACGTGAAGGATTAATAGGGAAAAGTTTGTATTAAGCTTAATTGTTCTTATCAATAAAATTCAAATTTAGGATTTAGATAAGCATTAAGGGGTTTTGGGGTTTTGGGGTT